AGAAAGACCATGGCCTGTGCATAGATCTGGAAGTGGGAAGTTGTGGTAATTGTAAACAGGGTTAAATCCGCACTGTCTCCCACCCCCCTCCAAAATAAGTCTTTCATTAAGATTCAATTTTTATGAAATACTCAGACAGTGTTGGGATTTCATGGAAATTCCAACCCAGTCAAAAGATATACTGAGACAAATTAGGGACTATTTTGTCTAAATAGCTTCCTATACAGTGTAACCTCGGAACTGTAACGCTCCCTTAGCCAAACAATTCGGTATTTAAACATAAAATTACAGGAAACAATGTCTTGGTACCCGAACAAAAACCACAATATCACAACAAAATCACACAGCATTAACCTCATTGGTACCTCAATGGAACCTCGTTGGTATGACGCATTGACCTCCTAGCACTAGACAAAGTGAACAGAGCTCCATTCTGTCAACTAACAGCGCTGACAGGTAAAGGGAAGTTAAATTTTCCTTTCATTTACAGTGTGTTTATGGTTTTTCACATTTATGCATGCAAGGTATTATTAAACTGTAAAATTTGGAACGGATCTAATTTACATTATTTCCTATAGAACATTTTGATTTGTTTTTCGCACAAAAATACGTTCTCAAACATCCTTTTGGAACAGATTTAGTTTGAGTTCCGAGATTCCACTGTATTTGACCGAGCTTGACAGAATGCAGAGCTACTGTCGTCAAGACTTGCCATTGGGCAGCTATTTTCGCCTCCCCTGGTGCTAGATATTCGTGCAAGGAGCCGATAGCACAACATAGCCCAGTTCACTAAAGAGCAAACTGGGCCATTTAAAAACTGAAAAACAGCTGTAGAATAACGGCTATCAGTTTATAATGCAGTTCCAATAATGCTACAAGATTACTAGACTGCGTGTGAGGTATAAACTACTTATCACATGAATGCAGCATCTCATCCTGGTGTGCAGCTAAAGGAAAATCCAAAGAGTGACACTTTGCATGTATGTTTTAGTTTAGGGGGGTTTTTTTTTGGTTTTTTTAAAGCATCTTTATGAGTAAAATGAGATCATGTCTAACTGGACAATCCCTTTAATCCTAGTGAACAAACCCTAAATTGTGAAATGGGTCTCTCACAAACGAAAGATTACGTATAACTTATAATGGATACACCATAGGGTATTTCAACTGCTTTACTGCCTAGATTTTTACAAGATTACAGCAAACGTCCTAGGATCTGTTTAGTAAGGCACAGATTCCAGGCTTAAATGGAGATCTGTTTTAACTAAGATTGTATGCAAATAAAATTAGATCATAACATTTTCAAAAAAGGGGTTTTTCCAGCTATGGCAATAAGTAAGTTGCATGTGCTAAAAAAAAAAAAGAAAAAAAAATGTATGATTTGCGATTCCAAACACATTGGAAAATGAACAATAGTTACCGCGTTAGTACTGCATATATTAGTACAGCTTTTAATAGAACTTTAAATATCCATTGACAAAGGACACCTGTTCTGTATATGTGACATGGTGGTTCACAGATGATAGACGTTATACATTTTACAGGCCAAACTTATCACAAATAAGCGCACCAAAAAAAAAAATTAAAAAAAATTAAAAAAAACTTGTCAAAATGTGTTTTTACATGCAGACATGTGATATGAATTGCATGTCTGATGTATGTTACATGGCGGCATTGCATGTGATCTATTAACACTTTGTGGTATGGGTGTGGTTGGCTGTGAGAGCAATGTATGAAATATGGCTGCAATGAGTATGATAAACATCATGGCAGCAAGATGTGTCATACATGAATCATGAACCGAACATACATTTTTTACAACAAGAACTGACTTCTGAACTGTAGTATTGGCTTTGGTCTACAGTCACGATGACCTAGAAGTATACAATTACAAACATGGCACAATGATGCAAGGCAGAGTGGGAGAGAGAACCCACATCAACATGTATGTATTTTTCAGGTGATTTGTCGATTATGGTTGCAAAAGTAAAATCCATACTCTCGAATCTCAAAGCTGTTAATGGTCGGAATAATTGCCATGTTTTCATGAATACTACATTAGTCAGTAATGCAATCACATGAATCAGACCATCATGGCATATAGATATCATGTAGAGTAATTTTTCTGTGACTTGCCCAAATTCGATTGTCCACAATCAAGTTACATATGCCATATTTTTGAAAGTGGTAAGAACATACTGTGCGGAAACTCAATATTAGGCGATCAGAACATACATATATAAATGCACTTTAAATCTTGCTGAAGGAGAAATTCAGAGAGAAACCTTTGATGGGTCTTTCAATTATCAGAATCATATATAATAAGAGTACACCAGGACTCAACATTTCCACTCGTCATTAGCTGATGAAAACTTAGCAAAGGTGATAAGAATTACACCCCTGGTGAGTGTGCCATTGACCCTCCAAGCAATGTTCCCTCTAATTCTTTGTAGATGTACAAATATTTTTTCCCGTTACAAAAGTATGTGCACATTTAATGCTTGGCAAATGTAAGCCTGAAATTGTTTTATTATCATTTTGTCAAACTGTATTGCCATATTTTAATATAATTCATATAGAGTTACAAGCTATATTATACGTGTAACATTACCTACATATATTTCAATGTGTCTGCATTTTATAATGCCCACATGTCCATTGCTTTTATATAAAAAAAAAAAAAAAAAAGGAAAAAGAAAAATCACTTTTTCAGGAAAGCATATGAATGTAGACCTTACCCTTACATTTTGTGCCACTGTGTCACTATACCCCACTACCTCTAGCATTTAGGCAGGGCCCTCTGTTCTTGTGCGCCCAACTCATCTGGTTACAAATCTTTATCTGTTAGTCCATCCATTGTACAGCGCTGCAGAACCTGCTGGCTCTTTATTAAATGGCAATAATAATATTAATGACTATCCACGCCACATTGACCACATTAATTTCACTTTGCATGCATTACCATGGCCATTTAGGCTGCTCTGACTCAGACTGATAGATCTGCACATTGCGCTCATATGCGCTGAGCATTTGTTAGATTTTAATTTTTTGCTATATTTTGTTATATGTGCTGCAGGCAAATGGGGTGTGCGCAACTACACTCGCACACCTTTCAGGGAACAATGCCTCCAAGCATGCAGTGGTAAGTAACTTTTAAAGTCTGACTAGTAGCATAGCGGTTACACAATGATTCAGATTATACTTCAACCTACTGATAAAATGGATATCCTTAGCTTGTAAGTCAACAGGCTATCTAACCAAGTACTTTGTTAAAAGAGCTTCAACAGCTTGATCTTAGCTTACAGACAGGGTCCTCTTTACCTTTTGTATTGTCTATGCATAATGTACTGCCCCCCACCCCCCCCCGCCCACTGTACAGCACTTCAGAATATGTTGAAGCTTTATAAATGCCATTATATGCTAGATAGCCACAATTTTATTAGACAGGTTCCAAAGCAGCTCACCGTCACACAACGTTTAAGACCGAATAGAGATGCATTTGTCAAGGAACCCTAAAACAAGCGCAGGTATGCAACAAGGATCCCATGCATCTACTTGTTCCCAACGCACTGGAAAAGGATGTCAACTATTTCCATGACAAAATACCTTTAATGCAAGCATTTGAGCCTAAAACAGCCTACTTGAATTCAGTTAAGAACTTGGGCCATAAATGCTATTTATTTCATATTAGATGTAGGTGTTTGATCGTACTTGCCTAAGGAAATTCAAGTGGCTGTTAACAGACATCCCTAAACAAAGCATTTTTTTTGGTTTTTAGTTATATGAGTGATAGTATGGTCAGTGTATTTATAATAAAACGTCTTACATTTTCTTCAAGCCAAGCAAAAAAAACATTAAGTAGACATCCATGTATTGAAAAGGTATATATAATAACACATACGTCATACTCACACACATCATGACTATATAGTATGCAAAGAAACCGTATTGGTCACAAGACCCATAAGTTGCTTCTACAAAATGATTCAAATTATTCCAAAAAGCAAGGTTTAAACGCATGCACGTCCTGCCTACCTGATCAACTGTCATCAATGAACAACAAACCTTGCATTAGCAATAGGCACACATTCTTTTAGGAATATACAAATCCAGGTGTTTTGACATTTACAGAGTTTAATTTTACAGCAGGCCATGTATTACTGTGGACTAATATAAATTTTATTTTTGTGACAGATTCTTGACTTGGTCAATATCAGACACTTTGTAGTCATCACACATACAATTAAACATGAGTAAACGTCCTGTTAAACAAGTCCAAAACAGCATTTCAAATTAAACATATTCAATAAAACACTGCTATAAATAAAAAAAATAAAAAAAGAACAGAATTATATTTTGAACTAATAACAGCTATTCTGGATTGAAATTCTCCTATTTGGATTTAGAATTCTGGTTACAGGAAAAAAGAGGTCTGTCTATAAACCAGCTTTAGCTAACACACACACAGATATAGATATATATATATATTTAAAAAATTTAAATCATGTCATACACCAATGTATCTAGAACAACATGCATTAGGAATTCCCCCATGAAAAATGGGGAATCCGCAATTAATGCTAAAGATTTTCCTTTTGTTTTGTATAGAAGAGAAAAGCTTGATCAGAGTATACTTGTTAGAGCTACTTTACAAAAATAATGTTAACAGCTCACAAGACCACATGGCCCTTTAACCATTTAACAGTATAGTTGTTCTTTAACAACTAGTTAGAATGGCACAATATCATTGCTCTCTCTACAACTCCTTTACCTGACCTACTCCTACATCAACATGTATTCTCATATGATCTAACTGTATACTAACATTATATTCCCATATGATCTATATGTACACTAATGTATATTCCCAGCTTTTCAAGGCCGTGTATGTGTTGTGGTACTGCACCAACTGGAAAATCTACAGTTCATACAGACATAAAAAAGGTAATGTTATATACTAAGGCAACACTGAGATTTGTGTGAAACCCAAAGCAAGTGTGTGTGTGTGTGTGTGTGTGTGTGTGTGTGTGTGTGTGTGTGTGTGTGTGTGTATATATATATACACACACACACACACACACATATATATACACACATACATACACACACATATACACACAAGATTCAGCGTACTCGCTCATTCACTAAACAACAACTTTAAGTCTCACAAAATGTATTTGTTTTAATTTAAAAACAACCTCACCTAGGTAAAAAAAATAAAGGGGACTTAATTACAGTACCTACTAAGTTCTCAGTGATTACTTTTCTAGCGACCTATTTCACTACCCCTACTAATAACCTTGTGTCACTTTACCCCACTCCCTCTAGCATGTAAGCTCATTGAGCAGGGCCCTCAACCCCTCTGTTCCTGTGCGTCCATTTGTATGGTTACAATTACGAGGTTGTTAGTCCACCCTTTGTACAGCGCTACGGAATTTGCTGGCGCTATATAAAAATTAAAATAATAAATCATACATTGAATACACCTGCCACAACATCAATGTAATATTATACATACATACACACACACACATACAAATGTATACACAATCCCAGATGTGTGTGACACTATACAATGTGTCTGTAAAATATATATTATAAACACACACTCTCCTAGATTTATGTGATATTATACTATGTGTGTATGACAGATAGATATACACACAATCCTAGATGTGTGTGGATATATGTACACACACACACACATATATATATATATATACACACAGATACATCTACTATAGAATATGTGTGATTCTATAGTGTGTGCATAATAAATATCTATGATCTCAGATATATATGTGTGTGTGATAGTATAGTGTGTATAATATCTATGATCCCAGATATATGTGTGTGATAGTATAGTGTGTATAATATCTATGATCCCAGATATATGTGTGTGATAGTATAGTGTGTATAATATCTATGATCCCAGATATATGTGTGTGATAGTATAGTGTGTATAATATCTATGATCCCAGATATATGTGTGTGATAGTATAGTGTGTATAATATCTATGATCCCAGATATATGTGTGTGATAGTATAGTGTGTATAATATCTATGATCCCAGATATATGTGTGTGATAGTATAGTGTGTATAATATCTATGATCCCAGATATATGTGTGTGATAGTATAGTGTGTATAATATCTATGATCCCAGATATATGTGTGTGATAGTATAGTGTGTATAATATCTATGATCCCAGATATGAGTGATAGTATAGTGTGTATAATATCTATGATCCCAGATATGAATGATAGTATAGTGTGTATAATATCTATGATCCCAGATATGAGTGATAGTATAGTGTGTATAATATCTATGATCCAAGATATGAGTGATAGTATAGTGTGTATAATATCTATGATCCCAGATATGTGTGATAGTATAGTGTGTGTATAATATCTATGATCCCAGATATGTGTGTGATAGTATAGTGATAGATCCCATAGAGTGATGTATAATATCTATGATCCTAGATATGGGTGATAGTATAGTGTGTATAATATCTATGATCCCAGATATATGTGTGTGATAGTATAGTGTGTATAATATCTATGATCCCAGATATATGTGTGTGATAGTATAGTGTGTATAATATCTATGATCCCAGATATATGTGTGTGATAGTATAGTGTGTATAATATCTATGATCCCAGATATGTGTGTGATAGTATAGTGTGTATAATATCTATGATCCCAGATATGTGAGTGATAGTAGTGTGTATAATATCTATGATCCCAGATATGTGTGTGATAGTATAGTGTGTATAATATCTATGATCCCAGATATGTGTGTGATAGTATAGTGTGTATAATATCTATGATCCCAGATATGTGAGTGATTGTATAGTGTGTATAATATCTATGATCCCAGATATGTGTCATAGTATAGTGTGTATAATATCTATGATCCCAGATATGTGTGATAGTATAGTGTGTATAATATCTATGATCCCAGATATGTGTGATAGTATAGTGTGTGTATAATATCTATGATCCCAGATATGTGTGATAGTATAGTGTGTGTATAATATCTATGATCCCAGATATGTGTGATAGTATAGTGTGTGTATAATATCTATGATCCCAGATATGTGTGATAGTATAGTGTGTATAATATCTATGATCCCAGATATGAGTGATAGTATAGAGTGTATAATATCTATGATCCCAGATATGAGTGATAGTATAGTGTGTGTGTATAATATCTATGATCCCAGATATGAGTGATAGTATCGTGTGTATAATATCTATGATCCTACATATGTGTGATAGTATAGTGTGTATAATATCTGTGATCCCAGATATGTGTGTGATAGTATAGTGTGTATAATATCTGTGATCCCAGATATGTGTGTGATAGTATAGTGTGTATAATATCTATGATCCCAGATATGTGAGTGATTGTATAGTGTGTATAATATCTATGATCCCAGATATGTGTGATAGTATAGTGTGTATAATATCTATGATCCCAGATATGTGTGATAGTATAGTGTGTATAATATCTATGATCCCAGATATGTGTGATAGTATAGTGTGTGTATAATATCTATGATCCCAGATATGTGTGATAGTATAGTGTGTGTATAATATCTATGATCCCAGATATGTGTGATAGTATAGTGTGTGTATAATATCTATGATCCCAGATATGAGTGATAGTATAGTGTGTGTATAATATCTATGACCCCAGATATATGTGTGTGTGATAGTATAGTGTGTATAATATCTATGATCCCAGATATGTGTGTGATAGTATAGTGTGTATAATATCTATGATCCTAGATATGTGTGTGATAGTATAGTGTGTATAATATCTATGATCCCAGATATGAGTGATAGTATAGTGTGTATAATATCTATGATCCCAGATATGAGTGATAGTATAGTGTGTATAATATCTATGATCCCAGATATGTGTGATAGTATAGTGTGTGTATAATATCTATGATCCCAGATGTATGTGTGTGATAGTATAGTGTGTGCATAATAAATATCTATGATCCCAGATATATGAGTGATAGTATAGTGTGTATAATATCTATGATCCTAGATATGGGTGATAGTATAGTGTGTATAATATCTATGATCCCAGATATATGTGTGTGATAGTATAGTGTGTATAATATCTATGATCCCAGATATATGTGTGTGATAGTATAGTGTGTATAATATCTATGATCCCAGATATATGTGTGTGATAGTATAGTGTGTATAATATCTATGATCCCAGATATGAGTGATAGTATAGTGTGTATAATATCTATGATCCCAGATATGAATGATAGTATAGTGTGTATAATATCTATGATCCCAGATATGAGTGATAGTATAGTGTGTATAATATCTATGATCCAAGATATGAGTGATAGTATAGTGTGTATAATATCTATGATCCCAGATATGAGTGATAGTATAGTGTGTGTATAATATCTATGATCCCAGATATGAGTGATAGTATAGTGTGTGTATAATATCTATGATCCCAGATATGAGTGATAGTATAGTGTGTGTATAATATCTATGATCCCAGATATGTGTGATAGTATAGTGTGTATAATATCTATGATCCCAGATATGAGTGATAGTATAGTGTGTGTATAATATCTATGATCCTAGATATGGTTGATAGTATAGTGTGTATAATATCTATGATCCCAGATATGGGTGATAGTATAGTGTGTATAATATCTATGATCCTAGATATGGTTGATAGTATAGTGTGTATAATATCTATGATCCTAGATATGGTTGATAGTATAGTGTGTATAATATCTATGATCCTAGATATGGGTGATAGTATAGTGTGTATAATATCTATGATCCCAGATATGTGTGGGATAGTATAGTGTGTGTATAATATCTATGATGCCAGATATATGTGTGATAGTATAGTGTGTATAATATCTATGATCCTAGATATGGTTGATAGTATAGTGTGTATAATATCTATGATCCCAGATATGGGTGATAGTATAGTGTGTATAATATCTATGATCCTAGATATGGTTGATAGTATAGTGTGTATAATATCTATGATCCTAGATATGGGTGATAGTATAGTGTGTATAATATCTATGATGCCAGATATATGTGTGTGTGAGTGATAGTATAGTGTGTGTTCCCTGGACCCCATGCTCTCTCCTTGCTGCCCCTCACCGGAGATACTGCGCACACAGCAGGCTCATCCTCCTCCGGGGCTCTCAGGGTCGGTCCGTGCAGGCTCAGGATGTGGACGGTCGTGAGATAGCCATCTTCTCTGGGCCCCCACTGCCTTAGAGCTCGGGGCCCTGGGCCTTCAACCGGCCCCCCTCTTAGCCCTCTGACAACCAAACCCCCCCCCAAAAAGCGCCTCACTGAACACCTTCCCCTCCGGAAACAGCTCCTTCCAGCAGCACTTCCGGTTCGGTGCGTCTGCTATAATCCTCCGGGCTGCCTGAAGCTTTCGAACTCCGAGAGCACGGGAAGCCACGCCCACCGCTCCCCAGCGCGCATCTGCGGCGCGCTCGTCTCTGCTACTGACGTCACTGCGAGGTGGGCGGTGACGAGAGGGAGAATGAGAGGCCTGGGCTGCTATGGCAACCGGTTGCCTGCCGCCCGAACTGTCGCCTAGGTAACGTGATATGGCGACGCTGGGCCTGCTTAGTGCGTCAGTAGATGCCCTCATCGACTTCAAAGCTGGCCCATGTGCTCGGGCTGCTGCTGCTACCACCGAAAAAGGATGTAGATATTTATATTTCAAGGCTTGTCATGTGTAACCATTTCGTGGCCTCCAGCATTGTACATGTCATTCTATGGTGGCAGTGTCGTGCTTTCCTGTTTTGGAAGATATAATATTTGTAATCCAAGGTTACTTTTAAAGCAGGGTTATGGGCTGAGGCGTAACAAGAAACCCCCGGGCCCGGTGCAAAGAGTGCCCCCCAGCCCCTCCATATTTCTCATTCTTCTCCACCCCCTGCGTGTGTTTCATTCCCTCCTCCAGACCCTCCAACAAGTGTCTCATCCCCCCCAGCCCCTCCAAGTGTCTC